TCCCACATCGTACGTGCTTCTGTAGGCAGAGGAAGCTGAGCAGGGACGACTATGGAAATGTTGCTCTTTGTGGGACCCCAGAGAGCTCTTTGCCATCAGAACGCAGAGAAACAAGTTAGGGTTTTTGTGTGAATGGAGACAAAAGGTTGACAGTGATGTGATGGGATAAAAGCAACCATGCATGGTGGAATTCACAGTAGCAATGCAATGAACACAAACTCCACCAGTAAAGATTATGGCAATTCTTAGATATCCCTCACTCCTCTCTCTCTCTCTCTCTCTCTCTCTCTCTCTCTCAAGATATTTCTCTCTGACTCCTCATTCATATCTCTCTTTGGCGTCAATAACCTCAGTGCTCTTCAACCTGTAATTCACATTTTATGACGACATGTTGTTAGTACGCACACCATCAAAATTTATATTGCAACCAAGAAGCTTTATTATGTTGACTGGTTGACTGATGGTGTCAACAGAGCAGGATGAGTGCAAAAGACACCGACTCATACAGCCACTCCAAATAATCGAGACTTTAACTTTTACACTGTTTGTTGGGGAAATTGGGTGACATCTTCATCAATTCGATACTGTTTGGATCCACATATCTAAAAAGAATGACGTATCCACATATCATCGAGGTATCTTTCAAACTTTTCGAGATCTAAGGTGGAAGCACTCAAGTGTTCTGACGGTCACTTGCAAGCGTAGATTTTTTGATCCGATTCTTTCGATGTTTAAATTAGTCCGAAATGATGAGTAAAAAAAAAAAATATTTTTTACTTAATTATTATGTTTAAAATAATATATTTTTTTTGAATAAAATGAAAGAATGGCCAATGAAATATTTCATGAACGAACAGTCCATAATTATCCTTTTTAGACTACTTGTCAATGTAGGAAGTGAAAAGAGACTACCTATAACAAGACAAAGAAGGCAAGTTTTATCTTACTTATGCTGACTAAGCTATCACGTTTCGGATGATAATTGACTATTAGTATTTTTCTTATTATTGTTCATATATTTATGTAATTAAAATTAATTATGTATATTACTGATTTTTTAATATATTTATAAAAAAAAGTTACTCGTCAAATGGTATAAATAATATAGCAGCAAATTTTCAATGTTGTATTTCCTGTATTATCTTTAAAGAGATTGGAAATCTATAAGTTTTTTTTTTTCAAAATTTTCTATATAATAATGATGTTAGTGAGTGGCGAATTTGTCTCATTGTTTAACACATTTACATGCCAAAAATTGGTCTCTTTTTCTGTGTAGATTCCACAACCTAAAACCCTTTTGTACTCTCTCTCTCTCTCTCTCTCTCTCTCTCTCTCTCTTTATATATATATATATATATATATATATATATATATATATATATATATATATATATATATATATATATATATATATATATATATATATATATA